GCTCCTCCTGCCACATGTCGAAATATCCTTGAGCAAGATACTGAACTCCGAATTGCTGTGAATGAGTTAGTTTCTGTTTGATGGACTTTGCCATCACTGAGTGAATGTGTGTGAAAGGGTGAATGTGGCTGTAGTGTAAAAGCGCTTTGAGTGGTCGGAAGACTAGAAAGGCGCCAAGTACAGGTCCATTTACTAGTCCTGTAGCGACGTGTCGACGTCCAATTTTTGCGTCAACGCTTCGCCACAGCTCTATGCACGCACGCACGCACGCACGCACACACACACACACGCACGCACACGTGGGAGACCAAAACATTGCAGAATGGAGGACGAAACAGCAACCTCCTCACAGAATTCCCAATAAAAGCCCCAATAAAAGAAAAAGTCCTAAAAAAAACAGCTCGCCCTGAATCGTGGAAGGTTTGGGAATACTTCAAATTTAGTTCCAAACGTAAAGGTGTGGTTATTGGCGCTCTTTGCTGTGGTGCTGGTGTGGTATACCAACTCCATTGGGCAATGTGGGAGCATCTGTGGCGGAGGCACCCCGTTGTCGCTCGTGGAGGAGACGGTGGCGGGTGGGTGCTGCCGTTGGCTGGGTTGGTTTCATGTTTGTGTGGTGTGTTGTGTGTTGTGTGGCTCGGGCTCTGCACACTTCGGTGGTGCTGACCGGCTGTCTTGGCTCTCCGTGCGGTTTGTTCGTGCTGGGTTGGTGGCTAATGTTAACGTTGGCTAGCTACTGGCGCCCAGACAGCTGTGTTTAGCTAACGTTAGTTATCATCTAATGTTGGCTTGAATGGTAGCTGGCTTACGGCTGCAGAACACAGCTATCTATAGTAGCTAACGTTGGCTGGCGTGGACCTTGGCTGCTGGCCGGTGTGTCGGTTTAACTGGAGTTGAGTTAACTGGTGATACTGAGGCAGATGTGTGTAGGCGTGGCTTTTTAGGACCCCTTATTGCCGAACCAGGAAATAAAGATTATGACTACTTCTATGACATTGAGTTGTTGGTGACTTTTAAAACACTGCAATAGAAACTCTTTACTGGAACAATAATGTTGGTGTCTGCTCCTCACTACGGAACTATTATTCACTGTCATGGAGACATTAACAGCTATAACGTTACATCGAAGAAAGACTCCTTTGGATATCGTATATTGTAATCATACAATGGCTTTACAATACATCTTAGAAACACTAACTATTTTAAATAATTTAAACACACCAAAATGTAATTGTTTGTAAAGGCAACCACACACTTGCACTATTGTAAAACATTAACAGAGTACGCTAGAGTTTGGATTAACCTGTGATATTATCCTGAGTGAGACTGGTTGAGATGATGAGCTCAATGCTCGTAGTTTCTCTTGTGAAAAAAAAAAAAACCTTCACAAAAAACGTCTCTATAATGAATATTTATGTATTCCTCAGGAACCAGCAGGTTCTCAAATCTGTAAGAGTATAAAGTGAGGACTATAGGGAATGGCAATGTATGTGACATAACACTGATAACGTCAATAAAACGTCCAAAATCCTCATGTTACCGGTCTAGTGTCATAGTTGTTTTTAATGTGTGCAATTACATCCAGCCTATAAATGAATCAGTCCGAGTTTACGCTCCAAGCAGTGTGGAGAACTTTGTAGCTGTGGCAGAGTGCACATTCATGCTACACTATTTACCGTCCATCGAGTTTAATATTAAAATCTAGACGTTTTGCTCACTCATCCCAATTCAGTTTAGTCTACATGTGCTGCAGGTCACAACTCTGGATTTGAAAATAAAGTCATAATTATAAAATTGGTAAATACTGCACAATAAGACCTAAATGCATGTAAAACTGATTAAACGGAGTTATCGTTTGAGCAATAGCTTCACACACCACCAAAATCAAATCCTTAGGCTACTTAAGCAACATACCAGCTCTGGTGTAGAAAACAAATGTACCCACATGTGATCATGGTGGACAAACTCAAGTTCAATATACAATGCAAGTCTTACATAGCAGCTAAATTGACCAATTTGTGACTGAAGGAAAGAAATGATTTGTAAGTAAGAGTTTGCTGACATGTACAGAATATCATTGTGATTAGTGAAATAAAAGTCTGTAGACTTTAAAAGGAAATAAGATCAATGAAAACAGCTGTTGTATCACAAGTTCATCTGGTCATATCATGCTTTGCCACAGCTAACTTCAAGATGGGTTTACATATTTACAGTCTTTATGAAAGTATAAACTGTTCTGAAAAGATTTTGACGTCAGTATAATATCAATGTATGGACAACAAAAACATTTTGTAAAGGATTTATTGGCATGACATGTACCTTATGTTAATGATTTGATTTTGGCCGGTCTAAATGCAAGTTAGAAATTAAGATAAGATAAGATATAAGATATTCCTTTATTTGTTCCACAATGGGGAAATTCCAATTCCAAATTACAGACATTATTTCTAAAATATGTTGTAAAGGTTTATGGTTACCATATATAATGACACAATTTAATCACATTTGACATGCTTTCAGGTTTTACTATTGTGCAGCATTTGCAAATGTGACTGTGACAAGATTATCGCTTGATGATCCCTGTCCAAATTTACTTAAAAACCTAAAAAGAATTGACATGTGAATGAAACTCATACAGACTACCACCCCAACCCCCCATACATGCACCTGTGCGTAGTTAACCAAACCTATACCATTCTGTTCTGATCTTAGTTTGTACAGCTGGGCATCCAACTTCTGCCCCTATTGCAAAATAGGTAACAATATCTAATTTGGTTGAAAGACTTTGCTGACATGTATAGAATATAAATAAAAGATAAAGTCTGTAAACCTTATTATGAAACGTGATCAATGGTAGACAGATTGCATCACAAGTTAATCTGCTCATAATGCTTTGTCACAACTCTACTTCAAGATGGTATTAAACATATACTGACTGTTTCAATGTATAATACCACAATTCTATCACATCTTATAATCTCTGTCCCATTTATTCAAAATCCCATGTGAATCGGATTTGTATATCGTAGACCCTCTACTGATTAAAGTTTTAACATTATCCAATTTCTCTTCCTATTGCAAAATGAGATTTGACAGTTGTCTAATTTGGATGAAAGAGTGTGCTGTTATGTGTATAATATCATTGTGATTGGTGAGATAAAAGTGTAGACGCGACATGATCGATGGTAAAATGTTGTAGGCTATCACCAGTTGATCTGGGCGTATCACGCTTTGCCACAGCTGACTACACACTGCGTTAAACATATACTGCATGTTTCCTTACAGACTGTGTGACAGTATAAACTCTTCTCAAATAGACCTGACATCAGATTAATAAGGATTCGTAAAACGACAGCAAGAACATTTTTTGGATTATTTATTGACATTTGCAGTGTTTGGAACAGGCATCGACACAGTCACCTACTGTGTCATTCTCTTCAAGCGTCCGGAGATCGCCGTAGCAAATAAAATTGATTGAAACTCCAGGTACCTCTGTTAATCTTATTAGACATCAGAACTGGGGTGTTACAGTGTTATGGATTTCATTCTGGTTGGTTAAAATTATGAAAAGAAGTCAATTCAGTCAGTATTTCTAGTGTACAGATCTGCATCAATGCTCGGGAATATCACCAGTTAATTCAACCACCAGTTAAACCGACACACCGGCTGCTGGCCGGCTGCGGGCGGGCTGCGCGGGGGGCTGGGGTGATTGGCTGGCGCCACCGGGGTGCGCGGAGCTCGGGCTGCGCGGCGCGCTGCACGGGCATGAGATTGATTGGTGCTTGTTGTTGTCTCCATCGCGAGCGGCAAACGGCTGCCTCCGTTTCAGAGAGAGAGCTGAGACGCGTTGGTTAGCCTAGCACCACCAAAGTGCACAGCTGCTAGATCTAGCTAACGGTAGCAAGAAGACTGCAGTAGCTTTTAACGTTATCTGTCTAACGTTAGCTAACTCACGTTAATCGTCCAGTTAGTCGTTAGATTAGTCGACTAATCGATAAAATAATCGCCCGATAAATCATTTAATAAATAATGGTTTACCTCCAGCCCTACCATTTACCATTACCATTTACCTGAGTCGCACCTGTGACGTGATCTGGAGTGACATTCATTCTACATGGGGGTCTGTACATTGACAGTACATACACAGGAGTCACTGTGGATTTATATTTCCACTACTGTCCACTGAACAAGCTATTTATCAGTTTTGTTCCTGGTATTTTACTTATGGGTTGGGTTATAAAAGTTGTCTGTTTCTCTCTTTTTCATGTACCCAGTTTCTTTTTTCACCCACCCCAGTGAGAACCCTGTTGGAGGAACAAAGAATATATTTTTCTATTTGCTTTTGCCTCTTTCTGAACAGTGTTTAGGCAGGGAGGATCTATTGCAGAGCTGTTGTATTAGTCTGCATTAGCTTAAGCTAGGTGTACCTAATCAACTGGACACTGAGTGCATGTGTGACCTTTCGAGGAATGACTAGGCCTAGCTGCATGAAACAAAGAGCTCACTGACCGCACTATGCTGCACTGGACTGCAAACAGAGGCATAGCCTGTTTTATGTTATGTAGTATGTGCATGTGATGGTGTGACAGTCTGACTTCATGGTGAAACCATGGGGCTGTATTGAGTCCAAGACTTTCAATTAGGAGTCCAATCTTTAGGCCTGATACGGCTGACTATTGTTGGACAAAACCTTGGAATATAAGTATGAGTTTACTAAGTGCAAACCAATTGTGATGTCATTGGCTTGTGGTGCACCGCTTTGAAGCCTTGAGTTTGGCATTGTAGTCGATGCGATGTTGTTTTTTAGCTGTGCAGTGTTGACTCGTCCATAATAGGAAACTCTGTTTGTGGACGCTACAGTATGTGATGATTGCAGCCCAATAAAAATAACAAAGCCGACAATGTTACACAGAATAATATTCCATAATGGTGAATTGACTCCACTGTAATGTAATGCCATGAACTGAACAGTTTGTTGACCGTCTTGTCTTTTCCTCCAGCTTCCCATTAAAGTTGGACACCAGAACACCCACACCAAAGTAAGCACAGAGCACAACAAGGAATGTCTGATCAACATCTCCAAGTACAAGTTCTCCCTCGTCATCAGTGGCCTCACAACCATCCTCAAAAATGTCAACAACATGGTGAGTGTGGTTCTTCCTCCTCTGTGTGAGGAGAGGGCAGTGGGTTATTGGTTGCTGTAATCATCCCTCCTTTCATACTGGTAGTAACCCTAACCCATGATGTCAAAAATATAATATAATCTGAACCCCAAGATAATTCATATTTTTATTTTTCAAGTCGACATTTCTCAACCGATTTTAACGAATTGTCTTTATATTAAAGGCTTTATGATGTACATGAAGTTGAACAATAATAATAATAATAATAAGTTAGAATCTTAACAGTAAGGCTATGATTTTAGGGAGGAGTGTATATCAAAGTCTAATGAAGTGATACTGATGCGGAAGGTAGGACAACACCAAACCCTGATGTTTCCTAATGCGGTGTGCTAATGTGTAAATGCTGAGTGAATGATGTTCTGACTGTGATTGTCTTCCCAGCGGATATTTGGAGAAGCTTCTGAGAAGAACCTCTACCTCTCCCAGCTCATCATTCTTGACACCCTGGAGAAGTGCCTGGCTGGGGTGAGTCTTCCCCTTTGAACACCACGCTGTCTTCATCTGTAGAAAACAAAGTCACCTTTTAAAAAAAACTTTTTTAGAAATTATCTAAAATCCAACTCAGAAATGATTCAGTATCTGTGCTGCTGTGTTTGTGCTCACAGAGAGACAAACCACTGTTAATGTACTTATCCGCCATCAATCACACTCTCCTCATCTCTTGGAGTTTCTCGGTGGATCAGCAGGCCCGGATTACATTTGCAGGCATTTAGTGGGAGCCTACCATCCGATGGGACCTGCTTTCAGCTTCCTGTACAGGTTTTTATCATTAGCGTTCATAGTCAGATGGAAGCCAGGTACCTTTCTGCATTTGTGGCTGATGTGCTTCTGAACTGGAATAGGTTTCTAAATGTTTGGATGCACCAAATACAAGTCCAAGTACTTACATTTGGGTACTTGCTGATGCCGAGTACTGATATGAGTATTTAAAGGGTCAGTGTATTCGATTCAGTGGCCTGAATACATCTCAACCTTCCAAGTCTGTAGGAGAAACTTTTAGGGCCCTTGATTTGTCTGTTCTGGCCTACAAATCTTCAGCGATGTTTTGACCTGGTCCTTTGGGTGCTGACCCATAGCTTCTCCCCAGTTCTAACATGGAGGATCAAATCAGTTAAACAGACGACTGGCTCTTTTCTGACTGTGTCCTCCCTCCTCAGCAATCCAAGGACTGCTTGCGTCTGGATGAGACCATGCTGGTCAAACAGTTGCTGCCGGAGATCTGCCATTTCATCCACACATACCGTGAGGGCCACCAACATGCTGCTGAGCTCCGGGCCTCGGCCTCAGCTGTCCTCTTCTCCCTGAGCTGCAACAACTTCAACGCCGTCTTCAGCCGCATCTCCACCAGGTATTTTGGAGCGAGCCTCCGAACCCCTAGCTGCTGTCTCTTTGGAGCTGTCTGTGAATTTACTGTGTATTGTCCAGTAGAGCTGAAATGATTAGTCAGTGTATTGATTAGCTGACAGAAATTCAACTTCGTAAGCAAAAATGCCAAGAATTCACTGGTTCCAGATTCTGAATCATGACGTTTTTCTTTTGTAGTTGGGTTGAAGCACCACATTTCATATTTAATTAGGGCCCGAGCACTGACTGTAAAACTTCACATCTTTGATAAGAGTCCCGCCCTGAACATGTCTATGCGATAATATTCAGTAATAGTGAGAGTGCCACCTAGTGGCAACAGGAAATATCACGTTTTATACTTTCATGTTCTACTCCTAGCAGGAAGATCAGATCCAGCTGAAATTTACTTATAAAATGCAAAACACATTGTTGATGATATGTGATGAATGTGGTGAGTGGGCGTGTCTCTGGCGTGGCAGAAAATTTTGATGTGACACCACGAAACACGAGTTTGCTGTAACTTGAGTGTACATTGTCCATTTGGCTCCAACTTCACTTGTCTGATAAGAGTCCCGCCCTGAAAACATCTACATGATAATATTCAGATATAGTGAGAGCGCCACCTACTGGACCACCTACCACATAATGAGCAGGGTGATGGTGGAAAATAATCTCACATCCAGATGAAAGCTGAAAAATAATTTCATATTTCATCTCTTGGTGTCTTTGCCTGCATTCAGGGCAGCAGAATCCATGTGTGCTTTTGTGTCTCCCCAGGCTACAGGAGCTGACCGTGTGCTCAGAGGACAATGTGGATGTTCATGACATAGAGCTGATGCAGTACATCAATGTTGACTGCTCCAAGCTGAAGAGACTGCTGCAAGGTTAGCCTCTAATGTTCTTACAGGTTTACATTATCAGGCTCAGAACTCCACAGTTCTTTCAGTTAAATATTGTCACACATTTCTGATCGAACTGTCTTTATTTTCTGAGAGCCTGACAAGTCTAATAGATTGTTACAATGCCTGAGTACCCTAACCTGACTGCGCCAGATAGTTTGTTACGGAGAACCATGTGGAAAGTCATAATTTGAAACAGTTCAGAAAAGGGCAAGCACTTTCAAAAAATACTCTGCAGGTGAATGGATGAATCATCTGTCTGTCAGCATCTATGATGGGTAAACCTCACCCAATCAGATCAATGAACCATATAACGTAGTCAAACTCTTACTGAAGTCAGTCTGGAAAAGAGAGAAAACATCTTTTACATGGAGAAAATCCTCCAGTGCCATTCTTTGTTTTTCTTTCAATGAGGAGTGCTCTCCAGTTCTGAGAAGACTGTTGCTAGCAGCATCTATGCTAACCTCTTTAGCAGCCACTGTAGGCACCAGATATGCTCAGGGGTCCTGCATTTACAGATGCCGTAACACATTATGATTGACTGTACATCAGAAAGTGTATGGATATTGGTATTCCACATGTACATCCCTCAACGGAGATAAGGAAGCAAGATGACTCACAAACACTAGCTACTTAAAATAACCACAAAAAAACGTTGTGTTACGATGCATTATTGCATTACGTCTTAGTATTAGCTAGTGTAACATTAAAAACTTAGCAAAACTAGCATCTGAAAACTGTGCTTGTCTCTATGGTATATGAACTATGTAGCTGCCAGTTGCTCATAGGACGCTGATTGGTCCGAACCACTGTGGTTGGACACAAGCTCATAGCTTGAAGCCTGGGAAGATGGATTCTCGTGTGATCTTGCAAGTCTAGCTGCCTTGCAAGGTTATGGGTACCCAGGCATTGTTTCAATCTATTAGAATAGTTAGACCCTGGTAGAGAACTGTGTCAGTGCTGCTTCAAGAGTTCCTCCTGTTCTGTTAATGTGATAGCCAGAAATGATGAAGAAATTGAGGTAGAGGTTGCGACAGTCTCTGTGATCTATGTGTTCATTTTGCTGTGTTTTCTTGCAGAAACTGTATTGAAGTTTAGAGCTCTCAAGAAGCCGGCCCAGTTAGCAGTCATCAACAGCTTAGAAAAGGTACTTGTACACTGCCCTGTTTCTGTCTCGAACTATAATACTTTGAATGGCTCTCATAAAGTTTTGATTCTAGTGTGCTAGAGTATACTAATGAATATCTGAAATGTCAACAATAAATGAGCAATGGTTAACATTTGGTAGCAGAGAAATGTTTTCCCATTCCAAAGTTAAACTTCTACTCGCGCTCTCTCCACAGGCGTTTTGGAACTGGGTGGAGAATTACCCAGATGAGTTCACCATGCTCTACCAACGACCACAGGCAGATATGGCAGGTATGAACGGATTCATAGCATGCAGTCTTACTGATTTGATTTAACTTGATTACATTTGTATAAGAGCTCTACAGATACAGCCAAAACAAGCCAGTCATCAATAATTATTCACATGTACTTTGAGGTACTAGCTGAAAGAATTCTTTACAGCCTTATTTTTAGACAAAACACAGCTAGTGTAATAGTACATTTTCTGAGCTTCATTTGAAAACAGTGTTTATAGAGAAGTCTGTATGATTTGATTAATCCAGCAAATACCACATAAATTAAGCTCTTTTTTCACGTGATAAAAGTATTGACACCAAGCTTGGGTCCATAGTGCCCCATGTCTTCCTTAGGCATCGTGCACAATTTCAGGCCATAGCCACAAGGTGGCGCTCTTTAAAATGATGAAGTTTATATCTCCACATCGGCACGTGTGATTAAAATGAAACTTGGTACGATGCTTGCCCATGGCTCCCTGAGGCTCACTAATAAAGGTGTCAAATATTCTCCACTAGGTGGCGCTCTGGTGGATAGTTATGAATATGAAATTCACAGGGCACGTGTAGAGTGGTGCCTGAAGCTCACATACCAAAAATTGTGTTTGTTGTGTGTGTAGCGCCCCCTACAGGAATAAAAAAAAAGCATCCCCGGAGCCATGTTTCACCGATACGTATGAAACTCGGTAGGCACGTGTAACGTGCTGAGACGTACAATAAAAGCCTCTTGGACCCATACCCGAAACCCCACAGGAAGTCTGCCATTTTGATTTTGATTTTCACTTTCGGCGAACTTTTTGCGTTGTATTTGAACAAACTCCTAGGGAATTCATCGGATCTGCTTGGTCAGTACAGTCAAAGTATGTTGCTGATTAAAAGTTGTTCTATTTGTGCATGTATGTTGAAGGGCGTGTCCGTGGGGTGCCGCCAAAGTTGGCCATTTTGAATTCCGTGGTCATTTTCTGTTAGTTTTCGTGTTATATTTGAACGAACTCCTCCTAGAGAATTTATCGGATCTACTTCAAAATTGGTCAGTACAGTCAAAAAACATTGCTGATCAAAAGTTGTGCTAGTTGAAGGGCGTGTTCATGGCTTTCCGTCAAAGTTGGCCATTTTGAATTCCGTGCTCATTTTCGGTGAATTTTTTGCCTTGTATTTGAACGAACTCCTCCTAGAGAATTTATTGGATCTGCTTCAAAATTAGTCAGTACAGTCAACATATGTTGTTGATTAAAAGTAGTGCTATTTGTGACTGTACGTTAAAGGGCGTGTCCGTGGCGTTCCCTCAAAGTTGGCCAGGTTGAATCGAATGTCAAACTGTGATGCTATTTCCGGCATTTAAGGGCTTCTGTTTTAACTAACTCCTCCTACAGATTTTATCGGATTGACGTCAAATTCGATCACTGCAATCAAGACACGTTGGTGATCGAAAGTTGATCAAATATTTGCTGTGCGTCAAACGGCGTGTGCGTAGCGTGGCGCTGAATTTCCACGGTTCGCAGTGGAGAGTCTCACTATGAACGCAGAAGTCTTTTGCACGGTGTCTGAAACGCATGGCGACGTAGAGCAGTTTCCCTCGGGTTCCGGTGATGAGGGCTTGGGTGTAGGGTGACGGGGTGTGGCGTGGCTGTGGCAGGGAACTGTCGTGCAGGCCCCGACGTGGGGAGATGAGCTTTAATTCAGAATTATTTCCCCAAATCTAGAGACGTGTACCCGCATGGGCATTTCACTCCACCTCTACTGCTCCCTGTAAGCTTTATTGCATTTTGAATTATGTCAAGCAGCGCAAACTTTCCAGGTAATTTCTTTATTCTATGCTGTCTTGATGTGTAATGTATGTAAGCGAAGCCTGAATAGACAGGGACAGAACAGTAGATGTGAAGGAGTGGTAGGGAGGATGAAAATCATCCCCCCACGCAGCAACATCTACAGATTTTTTTGGATGCTCCTCAAGATGAGTCTTTAAAAGTGAGGTTTCTGTCATTAACTGTGTGTGTTGGTGTGTGTTCAGAAGCTGCAGAGAAGTTGTTCGACCTGGTAGACAGCTTTGCGGAGAGTGCCAAGAGGAAGGCAGCTGTGTGGCCACTGCAGATTATCCTCCTCATCCTCTGTCCAGAAATTACACACACCATCTCCAAAGACACGGTGGAAGACAGCAAGGCCAACAAGGTGGGAGGAACACACACACACACACACACACACACACACACAGACACAGACAGCAGAGACTCCAGCACTCACACGCACTATGTCTTGTTGTGTGTCTGCAGAAACTGTTTTTGGACAGTTTGCGGAAAGCTTTGGCGGGCCAGGGTGGCAGTAAGCAGCTGATGGAGAGCGCTGCCATCGCCTGTGTCAAACTGTGTAAAGCCTCCACCTACATCAATTGGGAGGACCACTCAACCATATTCCTCCTGGTCCAGTCCATCGTCATGGATCTCAAGGTCTGACGGGTTTCTGAAAATGTATCTTTATGTTTTTTTTCATGTGTAACCTGTTGTTACAACTGAAGGTAATAAAGGCTAAGATGTAGTGAAGAAAGATAGATGAGGTCCAGTGTGTAGGATATGTTGACATTTAGCAGTGTAGTTGCTAATTGCAACTCCCTCGCCTCATTCTCCTGTTCTTAGCATTTAGGAGAAACTACAGTAGCCACAAAAAATGCAAAAGGACCTATCTAGAGCCAGTGTTTGGTTTGTCCCGCCTGGGCTACTGTAGAAACATGGTGGGCTGGATAATTAGTAATTATACTTATACCTATGAATTTTTATTTTTTTCTGATTAATGACCAATTATTTGTAACTGTAATTATCTCAATAATTCTGCTGAATGTGTTAATGACCACCGGTTATTTCTCTCTGTGGCATATTGTATGAGTATATCTCAGCAGAAATGTGCTTTTGAATGACTTAAAGTGACATGTGACCCTCGTTGTCCAACCAGGCTCTCCTGTTCAACCCAGCCAAACCCTTCTGGAGAGGGACAGGCAGCCAGAACGCTGACGTGGAGCTCATGATGGACTGCTTTGTCTCCTGTTTCCGCATCAATCCTCACAACAACCAGCACTTTAAGGTGAACTGAAAAGAAGTGATACTCATTAGTTGTTTGTGATGTTTCCCCTGCTTTACTCATGGAGCACAGCATCAGCAGCTCTATCTGGTTCTCATGAGTGTTTCCACTTTGTCCTGAAGGTCTGTTTGGCCGCCTCCTCCCCCTCCACCTTTCACTTTGTCCTGGTCAACTCGTTGCACAGAATAATAACCAATGTAAGTCCGCAGAGCTTCTTCACACGTCAGTGTCTATAGAATAACTGGATGCGTTCACTTGTCATATCTCATGCTGTGTTGTCTACTTTCAGTCCCATCTGGATTGGTGGCCTAAGATTGATGCAGTGTACTGCTACTCCGGAGAGCTTCGCTTTATGTTCTCAGACACCCTCAACCGGGTGATCCAAGGTGTTGGCACCCACGCTCCACTACGCATGACACCGGTGAGCGGATGGCAAATTTTTACATTACTTTTACATTACATAGTCTCTGTAAGTTATATTATGGATTAAAAAAAGTCAAAATTAACTTGAAACAATAATTCAAGTTGATCACAACTAGTTTGTTATTTTTGTAGTTTTGTGCCTCATTTCTATCAGTAATAATAACATTGTATTTACCAAAGTAGTGGTTGAGCTCAAGGAACACCTACAATGAAGTCCAACAGCAAACATGAGGTTACAAACAAACAGTTTGAGATTTAAATGATCTAATCCACTTTAGTTGGACGTCAAACCGAAAGTGAGCTCACCTGAAATGTCATCAATAATCACTCGTTACTATGATAGGTACAGCAGTTTAAAGTTGACCCAGGAAGTCGAAGTGTAATGTGTTCCACTGACAGACTGCAGGGTCCCCACGCATCCTGGAAAACCTGGAAATTTAGAGACTAGTTTTCCAGTCACAGTATACACAACAACAGCAGCAATAAAGAATACAATTAAAGGCAATATATAAGGTAACCGATACAACTAAAAACTTGTAAACAACAGTGAACACATATACTTATACTTTCTATAATAAAGTATAAGTAAGGAAATGCACATAATCATGAAAGTGGGTTTTTAAAAGGGATTTCAAAGATGAATCAAATAAAATTAACTTTAGAATCAGTATCACTTTTATTGTCCAGGTATGCATACACATACAAGGAATTTGACTCCGCTTTCATGTCATTTCAATGTACATACACAGAAATAGGCATACATACAGCAAAAAGAAACAAGCTTGACAAAGTAAACATAAATTGCTATGTACAGATATAATATATATTTATCCGTTGGGAAATTTGTGTAAAGGCATCAGTGCATATACAACACATAGAGAGATATAATGTGGCCATATCGCCCACCCATAGGTCGGTCCCGCCTGGCTGATACCTCTTCCTCTTTGGTCACTTAGATCTGAATCAAGGCAAATACCAGATCATATTGCTGAGAGGAATGCTGACTAAAATAAGATGTTGTAATTATATGTAGTAATAATTTTGCCTCTGTTTCCCTCCCACAGAGTCTGACATTCAAAGGGAAGATGACCACCAGCCTTAAGTTCAAAGAGAAAGCCACAGAACTTGACACTCGAAGTTACAAGTGCCTCCTTCTCGCTCTGGTCAAACTCATCCACGCTGACCCCAAACTCATGTTGCATGTGAGTCTATCTTTCAACAGTGAATGCTTTTCTTGCATGCAGGTTTTTGCACCCATACACTCCAGATGTTTTTGGTTCTACTTATTTCATTTTAACTGTATTTTCTGTGACTGCAGTGAACTTGCTCCTAATTGATTGTGTGCGTGTTGCTTTGTGCTAGAACCCAGTAAAACAAGCTCCAGAGATGCAGAGCAGCACAGCAGAGCTGATCACTGGCCTGGTGCAGCTAGTGCCTCTTAACAACACCACCCAGCTCTCACAAGAAGCCATGGAGGTCAGACACCAACCCACTCCTTTACTGAATGCACAACTGATTTCTATGGCAGAGTACAATTGGTAGAATTATCACTTGAAGAAGCATTGTTGTCTTGTTAACAACTTACTTTTTTTTTTCAAAAATTCACCAATTTTCAATGAATATTACAAAAAGACATTAAGAAAGTATTTGTACTATCGACACATCAAAGGGGAACTCCAGAAATGTAATATAGTGCTTCCATAACGTAAGTGGACTGGATTAAAAATTGGAGCAGCAGAGGTTGAGAAAGCCTGACTTTTTTTTTCTTTAAACACTTCCTGCAGATGTTTCAGTTTAAAAGCCTATCAGGAATGGGAGAAATTTAAACTGCTTTTAATGTGAAACATCTGTGCAGGAAGTTGCAGTTAACACTAAGTTTCATTGAGCTCAACAGTGATTGGTTGTTAAAATAGGACGTGTTCTCAGCAGAGTCGTACTGGTGTCGTTGTACTGAGGCAGTTAGTGCTGTGGATTGTGTACATTATGATGAATTTATCAAGATTACAGGTGGACATGGAGGAAGTTCTTGTATTCACACAAACGGAGAATTCAAACAGAAGCAGACAGGGCTGCAACGAAAAATTATTTTCATTATCAATTTATCTTGCGAACATTTTCTCCATTAATCCATGGCTTGTTTGGTCGATAAAATGTCAGAAAATAGGAAAAAGTGTTGATCAGTGTTTTCCAAAACCCAAGGTGACAACCTCAAATGTCTTGTTTTCTCCACCACCCAAAGATATTCAGCTTACAGTCGTAGAGGACTAAAGAAAGCAGAAAATATTCACATTTGAGAAGCTGAAATCTGAGCTTTGGATATTTCTTCTTAAACAATTACTCAGAACTATTCATTTATTATCAGAATAGTTTTATTTATATATATATATATATATATATATATATATATATATATATATATAAAAAATTTAGTTTTTGTTTTTCTGCTTTTGTATTAACTTTTTTTTGTGTTTTTTTTTACTGTCAAACCTCCACTAAGCACAAACCATTGTTTCTGTCTCCTCCTCCTGGTTCTTTCCCTACCTCCCTGTCTTGTGTCTCTTCTGTGTCCAGGCTCTGTTAGTTCTGCACCAGCCAGAGACCATAGAGCTGTGGAATCCTGATGCCCCAATAGAGACGTTCTGGGACATCAGGTACTCAGCAATCTTCGGACGGAAGCTTTTCAGCATCTTCACATACCTTTGCATTTTTTAACATTTAGTTTTGGTTACATTCAGTTTGAGAGATGCAATATCTGTTAAAAGAAAGGATTTTAGGGTTAAAGCCTGAAACCTAAGTAAACTTGATGGATCCCTCTGTCCTGAGCTGTGCTGTGGGGTCTATAGTAAGTCACTGCAGCTGAACTGAAATCCTTGCAGGTAGTGTGATTCAATGTGTGAAATACGAACTTGGTGTGAGATGGTTCACTTAAAGTGCACCAACTCTGTTGGACAGGCTTCATTGGTATTGTCAACCAGGACAGGTGGAATTTGAGTGGCTGATCAAGGAAATGTATTTATTTTTATACAACACAAGGTTGTATAACAAAATGAAAGTTTGCAGTTCCTTCATGCTAAGCATATAGAAAAAGATCATTACATTTATATTAAACAAATCAGTATATACAGTTATTTATTTACATATATACATACAAGTATACAGCCAGGAAATAATTCTGGAGGTCATCTTTTACCTTGATAATAATATGGTTTCATCTTCAAGTAAATAAATGAAAAATATAAATACAAATTAAAACAAAAATGTAGCAAAAGCTTCCAGCCGCTGCAGCTGCAGGCACAGCTGTTGCTATGTGGGAACTGAGCATCAGTCTGAGCACTGGAAAGCTCGAAAAACCTGTTGTGACCCTTTTTTCCAATGTCATGGTTGTGTGAAAAACAGCAAATCTTTACTTTTCTTGATGCTCTAAACTTATTTAGTTTACAGAATAGTATCTTCTCTCCTTTTTTGCTTCTTCCTTTAGCTCACAGGTGCTCTTCCTTATCTGCCGCAAACTGATCGGCCAGCAAATGGTTAATGGGACAGAAGTTCTCAAATGGCTGAGGGAGATCCTCATCTGCAGGAACAAGTTTCTGCTCAAGAACAAGGTATAGTCCCGTTCCTCAGCTGTAGCAACAGGCTGCAGGTAATGACAGATAATCCGACCACTGAACCAATGTCTCCGTTTGGGCCAATCAGTGAGAATCACTTACACAGCGAGCAGTATAGTCCTCTTGGAGTCTGCTTCGCTGGCTGAGAATCAGATTTTTGGTGGTGTGAATGCTCAGAAAGCTTTAAGATTTGGTGTGTCTGTTTGTGAGAGAATCAGTGTGTAGACTACATCTTCAGTCCTTGATCTTTCCAGGAGTGTGCCACTATGGGTGGCGGGATTCCCATCTGCCGGCAAGCGCAGACAAAGCTGGAGGTGTGTCTCTACATGTTCCTGTGGAGTCCGGACACCGAGGCGGTGTTGGTGGCCATGTCGTGTTTCCGCCACCTCTGTGAGGAGGCTGACATCCGCAGTGCCGCCGACGAGGTGCCCGTCCAGACCATCCTGCCAAATTACGCCACCTTCAGTGAGCTGGCCTCCGTCAGCAACATGATGGGAACAGGTCAGTACTGTTTCTCACCTTGAATACTACAGCTCTGTGTTCAGCACTGCACCAGAGCTTCTCACACATACAGTACGTTGTGTTATTATTTAGTGATTTTAAATGAACAACCAACCAGTCATCCTCAGACTGTTTCATCACACATTAAACATGAACAAATGCCTACGTTGACTTCCATTAACAAGTAGCATGTGGTAGAGGAAAGAAAAATGTAATGATAGAATGATGGGGGAACTTTATACTATCAATGGAGATTTTAGTAATAGAGTATTCCACCGATGATTCCATCAATTAATCAGGTTTGTTGTGAAAGTCTTTCCCGGTGTGTGAGGAGTAGTTACGTTGTTTAAGTCAGCCTAGATAAGCTCAGTTTGCAGTATAATAGTTACTGAAAGGCTGTACATTGTGAATAAAAGAAATGAAATGAAAAGTCCCTGTTTATGTAACTTTACTATGGCTTCTTCTTGCACTCTTACAGCAGAGTTGGTGCAGACTGTGAACAGCTAAGTTAGCTACTTAGAATTAGAATCGATTTATTTAAGTAAGCTTTTACACGTACAAGGAATTTGCCTTTGTGCATTGGTGCATAAAATCACACAAAAATAATACTTTTTAAAATATAAATAAATAAAGATAAGGCTAAAGATAGAAAGATCTAAACTGTACAGGAAATATTTTTACAATGTGCAGGATAGAAAAACCAACAGGAGTGCATTAATGTAATGCATATATACAGGGTGGGTTTAAGAGACAACCAAAGCAACCACATGTCAGGCTAAAGTAAATTAAAATAGCTTGAACTGGAGGTTTCCCAAATCCATTTTGGAGCTGTGATCAGATACTCAATCGCGTTTTGTGTTGTGTTTTTTTCACAGATTTGTTTTTTAAACAATGATGTGTAGTTGCATCTCGTTGTTGTGGTAGGCTCATTTGGATACACTGTACAGAGTTTTATTTTTTGCTTCTTTTGAATGATCCCAAACTTTGGACACTTTCTGTCGTTTTCTGTGTCCTGTCTCTTCTCTTCACCCCTCGATAAGAATGTAAAGATATATCCCAAGACAGTTAACTAGATAGATAGATGGATAGATAGATAGATAGATAGATAGATAGATAGACTTTATTAATCCCCGAAGGGAAATTGGGTCGTCAAAGCAGCCAGGTACATTTAAATACAATAAAATACAATAGAATAAAATACTTAGATAGAATAAAATACTTAGATAGAAAAGATTAAAAAAAAGATAAATATGTAGGTAAGGTGCAAAGAGTTGTAGTTGCAGGATGGTGGTAACAGTACTGATGACATGATGGTAGTGTTATTGTTAATAACAGTATATAATATTAACAGTATATAATGATAATATTAATATTTATAATAATATAATAATAATATGTATAAATATGATGACTGAACAGCTATACACATAGATATTATACATTAATATTAATATTGATATATAGTGAAGATTCAAACCAGTGAGATGATAAATGAATCGTGATATCAGTCGTGGTATCAAGGCGCAAAGACAAGAGCTTCACTTCACAAAAGGAAATATGCATTGTTTTGTACAGTTTATTACCTTGGAAATTAAAAAGGATTCTATAATTTGATTTAGAAATTTTTTCTTTCATAATTTGTCTTCAATCTCTTTTTGTTAAAAGAAAAACAAAGTGAATTGTAACAAATCATGGGTTGAGTGTGTCATTACGTGACCAACTCCTATATTTTCTCTTTTCACATGGTGGTACTGTTGGGTCTCTGTAGTTAATGTTGAAGAGTTCGGTCTAGACCTGCTCTATTTGAAAAGTGTCCTGAGATAACTTCTGTTATGAATTGGCGCTATACGAATGAATTGAATTGAATTTTCCAAAGCACCTTATGCAACCATAATAATCATCTGTGCAAAACGCTGTATGGCTGTATAAAATTATATGATTAAACAAACAATGATTTTTAGTAATGGAGTTACTCGAGGGATGGTTTCAGCCCTGCAGATGTAAATGGTAAATGGACCTGTACTTGTATAGCGCCTTTCTAGTCTAGCCAGATGTGCCATTATTAGGTTCCAGTTCCGGCACTGTGTCGAGTGGCGGCCAGCAACAGTTGCTCTGTTTCACTTATCCAATCGCTCCTTATCACTTATTTAGTTTGTACTTATTTTATTTCAATTTATGCTGCTAAACTGCACGGTGCAGATTGTTGTATATTGTATATACTGTACCAACGTTTAACTGCAAATTTGGTTGCACTTTGTCACATTTAGTTACTTGTTTTCTTCTTTTCTACTTACATTACCTGTAAGTGCTTGCATTTTGTTGCATCTAGTTAATTGTTTGATTTATTTTATGTTAGCCTTTATTTTAATTTTATATTTATTTTATTTTATTTTATTTTTGTTTGATTTTATTTTATTTTATGTTAGCTTATTTTTGCTCTAACCCTCTAGTACTTTACTTTACCACCTTTGCATTGAAACTGTTGTACAGTAATTTCCCTCGGGATGAATAAAGCTTCTTGAATCTTCCTTACTCAGTATCAATGAGATGGTGGTGACGTCAGCCTAAGCTATGATAGCTGTACTACCCCGAATATGGCCAACAGAGGGTTAGGATCGGTAACTGTGCAACATACTTCTGATAGGTGTTCAAACACAGAAGTACTCCAGCCACGGACCGGACTAAACCATCTGGCTGTAGGCTGGAGCGTGTAAAGTGCTCTAAATGGTAGTGGAGTGTACTGGATGCATATTGATGATATTGATAATATTGAACTAATTGTTAACAGCAGCACTCCTGATATGATACAGTTCTTCCCCCCATTGTAGCTTGATGTGAAGGAAAGAAAGGATGGAGGTTAGTTACATGAATTTTCTCTGATAAAATAGCTACTACAACCTTTTGGAATGGGTCAGTGTTCATGTGCCCTGCCCTAAGTCAAACAGACACACAGACCTGAAGTTCTTTACATATCCATGACACCAATTTAGAATTCAAATGTCAACATTATGAACGCAGCTTGGAACTACTTCAGTACAGCCCTGGTTGGTTTCTGTTAACAGTTTGGTTCTGGTTCCCATAGGCCGGTCCACCTTGCAGAAGAGGGTGATGGCCTTGCTAAGGAGGATAGAGCACCCCACACCAGGAAACATTGAGGTAACATTCGGTTCACATTCCAGAGGGTTTTATTGTTCTCTTAAAGTGACTCACCTTCATTAATCGCTCTCAGATGAGATTGCAGATGATTTACCTGCATGGTTAAAGTTCACCTTTTTAACTGATAAAAAAAATGATGAAAGCAATAAATATTTGCTGTAGACATGAGTTAGCAAATTGTAAAGGAGTGTCTGGTTCTATTAATAGAACTGAAGGAGTTTTCAAAGAAATAAAAAAGGTTTGTTCCGTTATATGGTGGATATTTTTGTTTACAACCCATAATGTGAACCAAACAGTACCAAACCAAACTAAACCCATGTACTTCCATTTGTATTATGTCAGTTTAGCATTTTCTCTCACCTGTGTTTGTGCACTATTGTTAATGTTCAGTTTCTTGGTTCCATCTTCAGGCTTGGGAGGACACATATGGTAAATGGGACCAGGCCACCAAACAGATTCTCAACTTCCCCAAAAACAAGGCAGATGACGGGCAGGTAAGCATGTTCCAAAAAGGGATCAAAATCAATGTCTGGAACTGGTGTGATGTGTGATTTAGGTGAAACTTAGAGGAATGTTGGGTGTTTGCTCTGTGTTTAAGACAATACACTGGCTGGCCAGTTGCATGTGCCATCATATAAGGTGGGGAAGCATTGTGGCCAGTACAGATTACAAAACTTAAGCCATGGCGGCTGTGGCTCTGGAGGCAGAGCCGGTCGTCCCCTAGTCGGAAGGTTGTTGATTCGATCCCTGGCTCCTTCAAACTTCTTTGAATTGAGTTGTTCCAGATGCTACCGCAGTGAAAAGCAAGACTCTCTTATCCTGGACTGGATCACGGTGAAATCTCAATTCTTAGATAAGGCTGGTCTATTCACATGTGTAGTTAGACCCAAAGTAGAACAACAGTACAACCTCAAGTCTGCACTGAGACAAAGACAGACTGCTGATATACTGTGCAGTCAATAACTCTAGATTCTGGCTTTTCTCCATCTCACCAGAGGGACCCTCTGGTCTTAAAGGGGAGAAATACAGACATGGAACAAAAGTTAAACTTAAAAGATATGCAAGTTAATAAGACAGTATTGAAAAAAACAAAAGCCATCATAAAATCTTTATTATTATCTGAATGTCAAGTTCAGACTGGTAATCACATTTTACCATCAGACATTTCATGTGTATTTTTCTCTGATTCTTTTTTAATAAATTTTCCATGTAATTATTAGCTTACTATGTTGCTCTCTAGATAATGGTGTGTCACTTCGGCATGGGATGATGTGAAGATGTGATGATTATCCTGGCTAAAATGATTGCAGTTCACAATATTATCACTATCATCATCAAAAACGTACTGGAATCACTTTACATTATATTTAATTAAGAAGCATATTTTTATAGCCTCACAGATGCTAGTTTTTAATTTGCAAGAACATTCTTAAAATATCCTACATTTAACCAGACAGTTGCTAAGGTGGTAACAGTTTGGATTTGTTTGATTGTTGTTTTTATTGGTCTTGCACAGAGCATGTGAGTAGAGTGGAGCGATAATAACTGTCAAAAAGGAGGAAGAGGCTCTTTTCCTGCTGCTTGTGTGTGACTGATCTGTGTGTCCCTGGTATGACACAGCTTTAACAGGGTTTAACATACATTTGAGCGGTGAGCGATTTTAGTGGAGCGGGGTGAAATCAGAGTTGAGTAAGGAGTGATTTGGAGAGGAGGGGCCGTGAGAGGCTTTGAACGGAGGAGCGGAGCAAACTAACAGCTCCCTTCATTGTTGCAGAAGAAGTGCTTCTGATATAAACAGCTGGGGGAATTATTGTGGGGACACAAACAGTGGATTTGGGGATAGGCATAGGAGTTGCTCCAACCTTTAAAAAAAAAAAAAAAAAAAAGTGCTCTGCTCTTTATTACACCCCCCCCACAGCAGGAGTGGATCAACATGACGGGTTTCCTGTGTGGCCTCGGCGGTGTGTGTCTCCAGCAGCGCAGCACACCGGGCCCAGCCACCTACAGCCCACCTATGGGCCCCATAAACGAGCGCAAACACTCCATGATCTCCATGGGCCCCTGCGATGTGTCCAACCCCATGGCCTCTGCCTCCTCCTGCTCCTCTTCGGCCTCCAACGAGACGCCCGTCAGCCGCTTCCTGGACCGGCTCCTGGCCCTGCTGGTGTGTGGCCACGACAGGGTTGGCCTCCACGTCCGCACCAACGTCAAAGACCTGCTGGGGCTGGAGCTCAGCCCCGCCCTGTACCCCATGCTCTTCAACAAGCTGAGGAACAGTATCGGCAAGTTCTTCGACACGCAGGGACCGGTGAGTGCCACTGCGGAAGTTCTTGCGATAATGGAACAATTCTGCAAACACACACATTGGCTTCAAAGTGTTTTTTTACACTGTACTGTGTTTCTGTCTGAAATCTGTGGTTCTCCTGTTTCCAGGTTCCTATCAATGACACTAACACCCAGTTTGTGGAGCAGACCATAGCCATCATGAAGAACCTGTTAGATAACCACACAGAGGGCAGCTCTGAACACCTGGGACAGGCCAGCATCGAGACCATGATGCTCAACCTGGTCAGGTCAGTACACCCTCCTCCCTGGGTACTACATGTCCTGTGGCCCAGTGAAAAAACTAAAACATAAGATTTGTAGTTTTTAGTGATTTTGGCGACACCCTGGTGTGGGATCATTTACATTAAATCCCAGACCGCTGTTTGAAATTCCAGTAACACCCCTTGTAGTTCTTCTGCTGGAAAATAGCTATCCTGTCATTTCATATCATATCTGGACAACCAGTCTGTTAGCCACTACAATACATTAGTCCATGAGCCTTTATCAGTTATCCACCATTCTGTCTTCCACAATCGACGCACGATCTCTGAAAGCATTACAAGCTGTCATAGTGCTAGGCAGTATGATCCAAAACGTGTCAGGATAAAATGCAGTAACATTTAGTACATCCGGAATTTGTCATATATTTTTGAATTGCTACACAATAGAATATAATAAAACAGAATACAAGTTTATTGTTCACCACAGAGGAAAATTGTCTTAAGTTAATCAAAACATAAAATCAGCATGAACATGTAACAAATCTGGAATCTGCAAACACAGTCAAAGTTTAAAACGTTGTACACTAGTGAGAAATAGAAATTAACACTTAAAAAAATCAATGATTAAAGTGTGGTCAGGTTTTGAGCTTTAAGTGCTGATTGCACTTGAAGTAAAAGGCTTGTGGAGAAATTGTTCATTTTCATTGTATTGTGACTTATTCTGACGAGCATAGTATTCTGATCTGTATTGACCTGTGCTCCACCCCTCAGATATGTGCGTATCTTGGGCAACGTGGTCCACGCAATTCAGATCAAAACTAAGCTGTGCCAGCTGGTGGAGGTGATGATGGAGAGACGAGATGACCTGTCCTTCTGCCAGGAGATGAAGTTCAGGTTAGTGAAAGCGGCTGATTGTGGCTGCTCCCTCTCCCACTTTTTTACACATCAGTGTGTTAACTAGGACTTCTAAACTCTGAGCAGGATAGAAACATATTAATGAAAGGGTAAGAAGGTAACGATGAACCTAAAACCCGCTTTAATGTTTATCTTTTTCTCCACTTGTCCTTCAGATGCTAATGTATGCCCCCTTTTCAATTTTCACTCATGTTGTTTGTAGGAACAAGATGGTGGAGTACCTGACGGACTGGGTGATGGGAACCTCCAACCAGGCTGCTGATGATGACATAAAGTGTCTGACAAGGTGCAGCTCTGTTACATGTGCTCAACCCAACTAAAGCTGGCCACACACTCTACACTCCTACTGTATGAGTAAATCCTCTGCTGTGTAAAACTAAGCTCACAATTTATGTGCGTACGCTGTACGTGTAAAATAGAAAACAAAATGGTCTGTCGGCTCCTGCACACTAGCTATTAGCTATTTTTCAATTCCCATGCGTCCTGGAAAACCTGGAATTTTTTCTTGTTTTCCCAACATGAAAACATTAGTAATAAATAATCTATTCATTTTTTTAGCCACTCACTCAAATTGGGTGCATATTTAGTTTCGACTGATAAGCTGCACAGTATGACACTTCAAAACTGGAGTTAAATGTGTCAATAATTGGCCTACCTGAATTATATGACTGTTTTGTGAGCAACTGCTGTCTTGTATTGTCAAGGAAAATTCCTGAAAAATGAGTGGGAACCCTGAAGGACTCAGCCTTAGTAAATGGGGCTCACACTCAACCAGGTAAACTACTGGGGCCCCCCCTCCGAACATCCGACGGCTGTTTGGGAGTCGTCGCTCCCCTCTGCACACTGCATGGCAAACGATGTCTGATAAAGATGAAATTCGGTCAACTCTAAAATGAACTGCGTGGCTCAAAAATCGCTTCACAAACGGGCTCAAATCGTACAGTGTATGCTGATCTTTATGCAGAGCTCCCCCCTCATTAGTGTGTGTGTGTGTGTGTGTGTGTGTGTGTGTGTGTGTGTGTGTGGGTGTGGGGGTGTGTGTGGGGGTGTGGGTGTGTGTGGGGGTGTGTGGAGCAGGGACCTGGACCAGGCCAGTATGGAGGCAGTTGTGTCTCTGTTGGCTGGTCTTCCTCTGCAGCCAGAAGAGGGGGATGGAGTCGAACTGATGGAGGCAAAATCTCAGCTCTTCCTCAAGTAAGAACACAGCTGTATTCAACAGCTGCACTTAAGTTGACAATAATTTGATGAAGCGCACCCTCACTTATTTTCAGGACACATCCTTATTTCATATTTAAAATGCCATGTTTATGTGTTGTTTTTACTCTTCCATCTCATGTCAAACAGACTAACAAGATTCCTAATCTTTACTAAGTTGTGGTGACTCTGGTTTCAGCCATTTTTTGTTGTCTATTTCAGTGCTGCAGTGTGCCTATGTTTAACTAGTGACATCTCTCGTACATGGGACATAATTACCATTTTAAAGGCCATTGTGTCATACATCATGACACGTATGGGTACAGAATGTCATGCTCTTTGGGAAAGAACCAAATATTCCATTGTTGTCCGTGCAACAATGTATTGTGTGTTGGGATTACAATTAAAGTTTGTATGCAATCCTTTTACATTAAACAAGCCTTTTATGGACACGTCTAATAATTATTTTGTGATACCTTAATAAATAACTTTGATTGGTCAGCTGGTCAGTTGTCATTCTCCTTCAGTAAAGTTGATCAATAAAATCATCATTGCCAGATATTGCTTGTCCAGACATCTATATTATATATCTATATTAGAATGATTATTAAAAGTGTTTGTAGATAACCAACGGTATGATCTGGGCTGAGATTCGGTAGGAGACGACAGTAACATTTACTGCAGCAGCCTCTCACTCACGGTAGATAATCCAGCAGTAGTAACTGACCACACTCAAATTGAATATCCATTTATTGTGTGCCTTAAATCTCACAAGCTGACACTTCACAGGAGCTTTAGCTTTAAGTTCACATAGATTAAAATGAACTAGTTTACTTTGTTCCTTTCTTCAGTATTTCTTTAATAAGCTGCAAAATGCTGTGAGTTTGATTTGGGTGGAGGAACCATCTCTGAGCCAGCTTTCCTCTCTCTCTTCGGTGCACCGATGTAATAGCTCTGCCAGAAAAGTAAAACTTTAGTTCCACCTGTTGTCGCTCTTTTAGCGCATTCATACACGACACTGACTTCCTTTACATGGACAGGGTACGAGTTTAAAAAGTCACACAAGCAAAAAACAGTTCTGCTAATTTTGTTGGATGACAGTAGTTGCAAGGGTTAGTAATACAAGCAATCTTTTCAGCACCTCAAATCAAAAGTTGTTTTTGTCCTAGTAACAGTTAAGACTGCTACTCTGCTGTGTTCATACCAATGCCTTACCCCTACAGAGAAAAAAAAATTCTAGTTTCCCTGTAGATTCTCATGTTGACATGAAAGTGGTATTCTTTTTGGTCTGATGGGGTCCTCTGTTCAACACTGTTGTGGATTAGTGCTTCTAGAACTCAAAAAGATCTTCATGATGGCTTTATGCTGAGGATGTGTGAGCAGTCCTTCATCATTTTATGAGGGAATAGAGGGAGTGGAGTCCAAAGTCATGACCATCTGAGAAGACATTTGAGCAAACTCCAACATGCAGTGTTTACATATAGTATTGACTAGTACAGTTTAATGACTGAAAAGTGTCAAAGAACAAAGAGAGCTTGTGAATTTATTGAGAAAGCTGGTGAATTACCTGCATAATAAACCAGCTGTTGTTTTTGCAGGTACTTCACCCTGTTCATGAACCTACTGAATGACTGCAGTGAGGTTGAGGATGATGGCCAAGCAGTGGGGGGACGAAAGAGAGGAATGTCCCGCCGGCTGGCATCCCTCCGCCACTGCACCGTCCTGGCCATGTCCAACCTTCTCAACGCTAACGTAGACAGCGGCCTGATGCACTCCATCGGTAAGTTGGTTCCAGCATTACTATATAGTAGTAGTTACCAACAGAATTTTCCTTTGAGTACCAGCGCTCATTTCTTCCTCCCCAGGTCTGGGTTACCACAAGGACCTGCAGACTCGAGCCACCTTCATGGAGGTACTGACGAAGATCCTGCAGCAGGGAACGGAGTTCGACACGCTGGCAGAGACGGTTCTGGCAGACCGCTTTGAAAGGCTCGTGGAGCTGGTCACCATGATGGGAGACCAGGGAGAGCTGCCCATCGCCATGGCTCTGGCTAATGTGGTTCCTGGGTCCCAGTGGGTGTGTACCTCCTCTTGATTTAGGATTGACAGTGGACAGTATGCGGTCAGACTTGTTGAAAGTATTTTATTTTATTGAAAGTTTCAACACAGGCATGATAGAACATACAGGAATAAAAAAGATAAAGAAAGAAGATATTGCATTAACAGATCTCCATAAAACCTTTTTCCAGCAGTGATTTTAGTTTGTTATATTTCCAGGACGAGCTAGCCCGAGTCCTGGTGACACTGTTTGACTCCCGACACCTCCTTTACCAGCTGCTGTGGAACATGTTCTCTAAAGAGGTGGAGCTGGCCGACTCCATGCAGACTCTGTTCAGAGGAAACAGCCTGGCCAGCAAAATAATGACCTTCTGTTTCAAGGTAGAAAACACAGCACCACTGCGGTCATTAAATCATTAGAAATGCCTACCTCTGATATAAAATACCTGCCTCGAAGATATGTAGTATGAAGGATTGGCCAATAATTTAAAGTTTTTCAACCGGCCGCCGTCATAGTTTATGTCATTGACATATAAAAAATAGAAGTGTGTCTCCACTCCCTTACACTGTACAAAAATCAAGCCAAAATATTCCGGATACGGCTGCTGACATCTTTCGCCATTCTTAGGAGAGAACCTGGTAATTGGACTCAACAATCAACTCTTTCTTGGCTTTTACTGGTTGTTTTCAGGCCCTGTGTATTCTTGAAAATACCATTAGGAGCAATAGGATTTTTTCACAGATTACCTGTCTCATGTACTACTGTCGGGAAATAGTGAAAGTTTCTGCAAATATGTTTATAAAAAATTACCTACTGCAGCCTTAATTACCAAAACAAAATGGCAAGAAGGGAAATATTCCAACACCTATTTTCCTCATTAAACAGAAAAATATGACCATACACCTTAATCCAAGTTTCATGTTAACTTATTGTAAAACACAATTCATTCAAACTCCACCAATACCATCTTGGTTAGTCTTTCCCCCCTTCAAACAATTAACATCTCTGGTTTGGTCGAAAGAAATCCTTAATTCACCAACTAAGACATGAAAGTATTCTGACTCTACACACTCACTGCCTCTCTGATGCCCAACCTCCCTCTGGCTCCTCTGCTGCTAGACCCCTCTCCTGTCTTGTCCTGATCTCGCCTACTACCTGGAGTCCTGGTTGGTGCTGCTGTATATCACCTCATAACTATATTCCCTGTCATAGGAATATACTGTAACAGTTCGAAAAAAACCTTAATTTACCGGGTTAATGTGAAAATATTCTGGCTCTACAGATGATTTACTGTGTATACTGTGCTCTCATTCGGCTCTCACTCGTTCTTCAGAGGCAGACCATTAAATTAACAAATATAAATTCTAAAAATCGCCATAAAAAATCGGTCCTAGTCCATATATTCATCTAATGGCGCACCCTTACTTGTATGTATATACTGACTGTGTTTTATGTTGTTTTATGTCAGGTATATGGGGCAGCATATCTGCAGAAGCTACTGGAGCCTTTATTAAGAGGGGTCATCACCACCCCTGATCACATCAGCTTTGAGGTGGATCCCACCAGGTGAGTGCATGTAGTATTCATTAGTGGTCTGGTTTTTATAAGGGTTTTTCAATGACAGATGCTATATATAATATATATAATGATATATAATGCTAATATCAAAACAAATTAATGTATATTTCCGATGCACATTACAATCTAATGTACTTGGTTATCTGTTGTACATGTTGTTTTAGATGGAATTCTAATTAATTAATGAAACAAAAAATAAATTGGGTTATTGGGTAGATTTCAGAACGCGACCGGTATTTATGTAAATTGTTCGTACATAATGTTTGTGAATGAAGCCCAATGTTTTTGATGACTGATGACAGCAGCCATGACACATCCCCTTTGGAGACCTGCTATCGGCTGATTCAGCCCTTGAGGGAGGGCATTGTGCAGGGCTCCAGAGTGCGACCAAAATTTTTAAGAGTGCGACTAATCATTTTTCTAGGTCGCACCGGTGCACCTGACGCTGCCCGGGTGAAAACATAAATTTATTTCGCAAGCGCATCATCTCTCTATGTTCTCCTGTGACCGAACTCACACACTCATGGTAGGATCATATCGTGTTCTAAACCAATAAGAGACAGAGCTCGGGCGGGTCTTTGCCTCTGATTGGCTGTGGTCCTGTTCACCGCGCTAAGTTGCGTGTGTTTAAAAATTGCGCGCGACCTGAGCGCGAGAGTAGCTGACTAACTGAAACGGAAAAATAAAATAAACGCGACAAAACGAGGGAAAATGAAGAGAGGCAGAAATATTGAAAGTTTTTTCATTAAGAAAACCAAGCCTACAACCAGCCCTACTACTATAATCCCATCCATCCCCACTACTGAGAGTCCATCCCGGCAAGACACGGAGCCCTCGGTCCCTGGTGAGATACCAAGCCCTGGTCCTTCGGCGACAGCATCAGACTCGGACCCAGAGGATGAGATAACAGAGTCTGGGATAGAGCCCGGCTCCGAGACCCAAATTAAAAAGGTCAAAATATATTCCTTCAGACAGGACTGGCTGAAACAATTTCCCTGGCTGAGGTACAACAAAGGACGTAACACAATGCACTGCGTGTACTGTCAGGAGTGCGGTCAGAATATGGCCGGAAGTAGTGCATTCGTGAGCGGGTCAATAACGTTTCGTATCGAAACTTTAAAAAAACATAACATGTCTAAAAAACACACGATATGCTGTGACAAGTGTGTAGAGAAAGTGGCCCCTCTCCCAGAGGCATTTCAGCGGCAGGTAGTAGTAATCATTATTATTATCATTAATAATTATTTTACTAGAAATGTTTGAGTTTGAAATGTTCAATTTCAGTTCAGTGAAGCGCTTTAAACACTTTATTTTTCTTTTTATATATAATTGTGCTTCAAATTAAGACAAGCATTTCTCTACACCTTATTCTTGTTTAAAAATCATTCACATTATATGAAAGTTATGGAGAGCGATAAAAAGGTGACCTTATGGCGTTAAAGGCAATGCAATGAAAAATTTGGGTGCACCTAAATTTTGTGCTGGTGCACCTAAAAAGTTAGGCGCACCAGGGCAACCAATGCAAAAAGTTAGTCTGGAGCCATGTTGTGGGTAGACAGTTGTAGTCCTTATTTTCCAGCAGTGTGTAGTCACTGCAGCCAGCTCTGAAGAATCTCAGTGAGACTGTGATCAAACTTTTAGCGTCTGTATTCAAGGATTCAAGGTTATCTTATTGTCATTAACAACGCAAGGTTGTAGAATGAAATTTAGATATAGTTACCTTTTTATGCTTCTTTTAAAAAACAAAATAAATAAAGATTAATAAGTCAATACAAAATAGTACTAATATGTATGGTGAATTGTTGAGGATAAATTTAGAAGTCTCAGAGACTGAGGGAAGACGCTGTCTGTAAGTCTTCCCAGATGGCAGCAGGGTGAACAGGCTGTGGCTACTTGTTACTGAAAACAGTTATACATTTAGTCTGGAAGTCTTTGAAACACAAGAACTTAAAACCTCACTGACAGGATTTCTTTGTTTGTCTCATTAGGCTGGAACAAGAGGAGAACCTGGAAGAGAACCAGAGGAACCTGCTGCAGATCACTGAGCGGTTCTTCCAGGCCATCATTGGTTCATCCAGCGAGTTCCCCCCACAGCTCCGCAGTGTCTGCCACTGTCTTTACCAGGTAGACCCCCCTCCCACCCCCACCTTCCCACACACCCCTCTCTTAGTTCACCATGGCTTCCAGCTGCTCACCCAGCCTCTCTGCCTTACCTCTGTGTGCGGTGTCACTTACACACTTTGAGCTCCACTCTGAGGTCTCCTGATGCTGCTCGACTCACTGCTCTCTACATCACATGCATCAGGGCACAGCTCTACATACATTCTGCTGGACCAACACATCAAGACCTTTCTGTTTAATCATTTTCATTTTCCCAAAAGTTCCACATGCTCAGTGTTTACTCCTCAAGAGTTATGTACATCAGGATAGAAAACCCCTGAAGCACCATGAGACCCTAAACTTGTAAGGGGTTCTAAAGCAGGACCTTGTTTTCCTAGCTTTTGCCATTATGACAGTGAATTGTTTCCTGACCTAGTTTGCTAGAGGTGCTGCTGGACCAAAAACCCATACCCATACCAGTGCTTATACACTGACAGCAGATAGGGCTGCAGCTAACAAAGATTTTCATTATCCAATAAGCTGAGTATCTTTTTGAGGAACTGCTCAATTATTAGAAAAATATTGATGAAATCGAGGATGATGTTTGATGATGAATTTCTGCTAAAATAATGACTTATATGGTAAATGGATTACCGTATTAACTTTCTGTTGATCAATTACTCAAATAATTTTTTCATTTCTATCAAATTATAGTGTAGGCAGTATGCACAACTCAGAAACATAGAAACAATGAGGATGCAGATGATCTAGTTTAGCTATTAATGAGTTATTTACGCTCCTGAGTGTCTAATCTATCACATTCCATTTCAACAAAGTAAAAGTGTTGGGTAACGTTTGGGATTTGTCCGATACAAACTTTTAAGACGGCACTGGTGCTGGAACGGTGCCTGAACTTGGGGAAAATGGACAAAAGGACAAACTATGTAAATATAAAACAATTGACATTATAAATAAAACCTAACCAACTACAATAATTTAACACAAAATAACAGCTACAGTATAAATAACAGCAAAATACATTTTGAGTTGGTGTTCCACAAACTCCAGCCATTCTTTTGTGGAATTATTATCATATTTGCTAACCTGAAGAAAGGCTGCTGTCGTCTTTAATCAATGGTTTGCCCATCATAGATGCATGTCACATCTGGTGTTTTATAGCTATGCGCCCCATCTCTGGGGCCAGGGTAGCCCGCATGCCGGCTGATGTGCTTGGTGCTGCTTTATGTAGTGAATCCCGTGCATCACCAGATGGTTCCCCCTCTTAAACTGTTATTTTTCCACATCAGTTTCATGTCTCGCCCGGTGTTTGAATCCTTTCCAGTGAACTACAGCCAATAGCTTCGTATTTCAGCTGTATTTAAAAGGGATGCACAATATGGATTTTTTAAAAAAAGTTCATAACCTGCAGTTTCTACTTTATACTTATGTCTATACTTTGGCTTTCATACAACAGAGAGGCTATCAAACATTCTGCATAAGAATTCAAAATAAATTATTATTGTTATGGACCAATAATTTATCTGCCGTAATTTAATTATCACAATCATTCATCATCATATACATTTCCCTTTATCTGCATTCCTTATTGTGCATCCCTAGTAGTAACGTGCTAGCAGTAGGCTACCTCCTGCCAGAGCCATGTAGAGAGAGAGTTGTGTAATGTTAACTAGTGATGGCACACATGCAGTTATTCCTGTTTCCTGTAACGTTCACACCAGAGGGCAAATATTTCAATAGACTGCTCCGGTACTTAAGCGAGGCACTGACATCTGCATTGTGATCTGGTGCGATAGATATCGGTCGTATAGGAACCGGTGCCATATTGGCAAGGTGTGTCTATACCCAACCATAGAGTTTGACCATGTAACAGAGATTTAATTAGTCCATATACAAATACTGAGTGACAAATCCTTCATTTGGCCAAAGGATGAGTTGTCAGAGTAATGACACAACCCAGTCATTTCATTTCTGTTCTATAGCTATAATATACACTATATGGACAAAGTATTTGGTCACCTGACCATTATACCAACAGTGACTGTAATGACATTGCATTCAAATACATATACTTTAATATGGAGTTGGATCCCCGTTTGCAGCTATAACAGCTTCCAATCTTCTTGGAAGGCTTTCCACAAGATTTTGGAGTGTTTCTGTGGGAATTTGTGCCCATTCATTCTGTAGAGCATTTATGAGGTCAGGCACTGATGTTGGACGAGAAGGTCTGGCTCGCAATGTCCATTCCAGTTCATCCCAAAGGTGCTCCATGGGGTTGAGGTCAGGTCTCTGTGCGGGCTAGTCAAGTTCTTCCACATAAAACTCATCAAACCATGTCTTTATGGACCTTGCTTTGTGTGCTGGGGCACAGTCATGTTGGAACAGAAAAGGGCCTTCCGCAAACTGTTGCCACAAAGTTGGAAGCATATTATTGTCCAAAATGTCTTGGTATGCTGAAGCATTAACATAGCCCTTCACTGGAGATAAGGGGCCTAGCCCAAACCCTGAAAAACAGCCCCATACCATTATTCCTCCTCCACCAAACTTCACAGTTGACACAAAGCAGTCAGGCAGGTAACATTCTCCCGGCATCAGCCAAACCCAGACTCGAAGCTCTGTCTGCCAAACAGATAGGCATGATTCGGTCACTCCACAGAACGCGTTCCCACTGCTCCACAGTCCAGTGACGATGCGCTTTACACCACTTCTTCCGACGTTTGGCATTGGACTTGGTGATGTACGGCTTGCATGCAGCTGCTCGGCCATGGAAACTCATTCCATGAAGCTCCCGTCGCACAGTTTTTGTGCTCACATTAATGCCAGTGGAAGTTCGGAACTCTTCAGCTATGGAGTCAGCAGAACGTTGGTGACTTTTACGAACCATGCGGCTTAGCAGTAGTTGACCATGCTTTGTGATTTTACGTGGTCTTCTGCTTCGTGGCTGAGTTGCTGTTGTTCCTAAACGCTTCCACTTTCTAATAATATCACTTACAGTTGACCGTGGAATATCTAGAAGGGATGAAATTTCATGAAAAGTCTTATTGCAAAGGTGGCAAGTCACTGAGCTCTTCAGAACAACCCATTTTGCATCACATATGTTTGCAAATGGAGAGCATGGCTAGGTGCTTGACTTTATACACCTTTGGCAAGGGGTCTGATTTAAACACCTGAATTCAATAAATAACAGGTGTGGCCAAATACTTTTGTCCATATAGTGTACGTTTAATGTAATACTGCAAGTAATAAGAATAGCTAAAGGTAATCCATAATACATAAATTCAGCTGTGAAATGAGTAATAGGTTTGCTACATGCCACTAGCTCTCTTAGCTTTAATAAACTAAATAAACTCACAAAATGTCAAGAAGAGAAACATTCTAACGCCTACTTTCCTCATTAAACATACAAATACAGCCGTACACCTTCGGGATTCAATATTCTCTCTTTTACCGAACTAATACCAGCTCAATTTCCTTGTTAACTCGTCATAAAACACATTTGAACTCAACAGAAACAAAATATAACAAATTTTCTGGCACCGAAGAGAAAAGTCCCATACAGCAGACGTTACAACACACAACATCCATGACACAGGTTTGTCTGGACAGTGATACTGCTCAGCTTTGCAATGAACATTTTTGGTAATGTGTTTGACGCTAATGGGAATCTTAATTAAATTCAATGAAATTGTATTTGTATAGCGCCAATTCATAACAGAAGTTATCTCAGGACACTGTTCAAATAGAGCAGGTCTAGACCGAACTCCTTATAAAAACTGACTACAGAACTGCTGCTCATTAAGCAGCAGTTCTGTAGTAATGGGCCTAATATGTAGAACTAAGTGTAAATGCAAAGGCCCATGATTAGGTGCTGTTATCTAGATTACTTGTGAATAACAGCTGACAATGGCAAAGGCTAGTAAAATGAGGCTCTGGTTGAAAAAAACCAAAAACAAGTTCAGATAGGGTCAGATAGGCTTCCTAGAGTAACATTCTCCCAGACCACCCTGCAGTGATACCCCTGTAGTGATGGTGACAAAATCAAAGCTGTGATCACATCTAATCCTTTGCATTGCCATGGTGTCAGCTGAGACTCTACTCACCGAAATTTGGGGGGCATTTGGGGTCTTTAAATTTCAATACCAGACAGTAGAAAGATGACAGGAAATGAGGAGAGAGAGTGATATATGGGAACTACATGCAACAAGTTTGCCAGATGCAAACTAGGCACATTGCAAGTCACAGTGGCACCTTAACCCAAAGGCCAGATGGCACAGATACAACTGGTATCTGCAATGCATCTGCTTGGTCCAAACACTAGCTTGAGTATTTTTCCTGAAAATTCTCCACATACATACAGTACTAGCATAGCAGTGAACTGCACTTGCAGATGAAACACAAAGTGATACCAAGGTTGTGTGTTTGGTTTTCTCATCTTAGCTTTCTGGGGGCATTTCCTTCAGGTTATAAACACTGACGAGCTAACACTTCACAGTCTGTGATGTTTGAATTTATTCAATACCATCTGCTTCCAGTTTGCTGCTGTACATTCATCTCACTGACAGCGTATTATAGATCAGGTCAGGTATCCCTCATAGCTCTCTCTTTCTTTGTCAATCAAAATGCATTTCTTTCTGCAGAAAACATCCAATCCAGGTGGCTCTATATAGACCAGGGGTAGGCACCTGCGACTCCGGCTCTGTAGCCCCTCTCCAGTGGCTTCCTGTGGCTTTGACAAAAAATGATGTTGGACATGTCTCTACTGTCCATACAAGATTTAACAATGGACTAGGTGTGGTCACAGCATAGGAGGGTGACAACTCACTGGCCACTATCACCAAATATATATAGCAAATGACATTATAGTCTAAGCTCAATTTACACACCTTTTCATCATCTGAACACTGACTTTTCCACCTGAATGAAAGCAGCTTCACACTATTGCTGCTGTTGCTGCTGCTGCCTCGCCTGAACTCCAGAGAATAAGAAGCTCCACAGCTCTGTCTACTAACACCCAACAACTGAATGAATAGACTTTGTTAATATGTGATATATTTTTACTAGTTCATGCGCACATCCATAAAGAAGTGGTCTGGGTTTTTGATCAGATTGTGTATTTCCATGTATTGACATCTTTGATTTCTCATCATCCATCTTGGATTTTCTTTTGCAATGCGTACACACACACACACACACACACACACACACACACAAAACACACACACACACACACACACACTAATACAATCTGCTAAAGTCAAACCAAGCCAGCGCATGCATTGACACGCTTTAAGTCCCCCTGAGCAGTGATGAACACATTTGTTACAGCAGATTTGATTTGTCTGTGTTTTATTAGATGGGAATGTGTGTGTAAGGGGTTGGGGGTGTGTGTGTTTGTGTGTGTGTGTGTGTGTGTGTGTGTGTGTGTGTGTGTGTGTGTGTGTGTGTATAGCTGGTGCTGTGACCATGATTGTGCTCATCTCTGTTCTGTAGGCTACTTGCCACTCTCTACTGAATAAAGCAACAGTAAAAGAAAAAAAGGAAAACAAAAAAGCAGTAAGTTTGGAGAATCTACTATCCCTCAGACACTTTCCCCCTAAAGCAAAAAAGCCTTTTTTTTTGCATTTTATTCATTTTATTTATTTTATTTCTTCATTTTTATAAATTTGGTTTTAATTTGGTGTTTCTCTGGAAATGTTTTATTCTTTTCTCCATATTCAACTTTGTGTACAACCCTCTCTTAAAATCATTGTACTAATATCGGCGCCATTTGATGTATTTTCAATTAACAGTTCCCAGGAAACTGTGGCATTCTCCTCTTCTCTTTTCTTTCTGGACTCTGTCTTTGCACTTCTGGAGACATTTTCTCAGAACATTTCATCTGCACTCAAATCATGTTTCTCTATCTTATATGACTCTCACAAATAAATCATCATAAAGCAAAACCTCACACACGCACACACTGGCACGCCTCACCGGCCTCAGCTGACATGGCTTTGTAAAGGACATGAATGGTCTTTAGATGAAATATTCTGATAAACTGGCCTCCTCCTGTCATGGGTTGGATTCCTCAGCTGTGGTCTCCTTCTTCCTAATATATACAAAGAGCTTTCTTTGACTTTCACAGTGGAATTTTTTACATTCACTGTTTTCAGTACCCTCCCTCAGGACTATTCGCCCTGATCTTGCTTTAACTCTTTTGCTCGATCCTTAGCACTCATGGGTCGAAGTGGATACATTTCTCTCTCTCTCAATTTTTTAACTTTAAAATATCCCCCACCTGAAAGAGTGTAGTATGGTAAAATGACTTCCATGCGTGCGCATTGGTGTTGATATACTGAAGTATTTAATTAGAAAAGTGGCCGTGACACCAGTCAGTCGTTTTGGCTCAGTGTTGAATTACTTACAGAAATTATGTGAATTAGTTGGTGTAATCTTCTGGCAGGCATATTTACGATGGAACTGGTTTTTGGAACCCAACCCTATATGCAAGCTGCATTGTTCACACACTTGCATACTTGTGTATATATGGTTTTAAATGGATTGAAAAGTATATCCACTGGATCAGGGCTGAATCCTTCCTGGCCAACATCAGATTATTCTTTTTGAGAACTTCAGATTTTGCACAAACATACAATGCAACAGTCAAGGAGCTTACTGTAATTTAATGTTGACATCAATTCAATTCAATTTTATTTGTATAGCGTCAATTCATAACAGAAGTTATCTCAGGACACTTTTCAAATAGAGCAGGTCTAGACCGAACTCTTTAAAACATTAATTACAGAGACCCAACAGTACCACCATGAGCAAGCACTTGGCGACAAGGGCAAGGAAAAACTGCCTGTTAAAAGGCAGAAACCTAGGACAGATCCTCCGGCTCTAGGTGGGTGGTCGTCTGTCTCGACCAGTTGGGGTGAGAGAGAGAGAGAGAGAGCGAGAGACAGACAGACAGGTGCACAGCAACAACAGTATTGGCAATGGCAATCTAGCAGGACCATGGCAGGAGGCTCCACCAGGATCGACAAGAACCTGCGAGACGAGAAGGCACAAGAACTCCGGGGAAGAAGTGAAGTTAGTAACATGCATTAAAGGGACATGAATGAGTGCAGAAAGAGAGGAAGGGAGGAGCTCAGTGCACCATGGGAAATCCCCCAATAGTCTAGGCCTATAGCAGCATAACTAAGGGATGGTTCAGGACTCACCTGATCCAGCCCTAACTATAAGCTTTATCAAAGAGGAATGTCTTAAGCCTACTCTTGAATGTGGAGAGGGTGTCTGCCTCCCGAACCCCAAATGGAAGCTGGTTCCACAAGAGAGGAGCTTGGTAACTGAAGGCTCTGGCTCCTGTTCTACTTTTAGAGACTATAGGAACCACAAGTAGCCCAGCATTCAGAGAATGTAGTGTTCTAGAGGGGTAATAGGGTACTATGAGCTCTTTAAGATATGAAGGGGCCTGACCATGAAGAACTTTATAGGTGAGGAGGAGGATTTTAAATTCTATTCTACATTTTACAGGGAGCCAATGCAGAGAAGCTAGTACAGGAGAGATGTGATCTCTTTTTCTAGTTCCTGTCAGTACTCGTGCTGCAGCGTTCTGAATTAATTGGAGCGTTTTAATGGACTTATTGGGGCAACCTGATAATAAAGAGTTGCAGTAATCCAGCCTTGAAGTAACAAATGCATGGATTAGTTTTTCTGCATCTGTCTGTGATAGGATGTGTCTAATTTTTCTAATATTACGTAAATGAAAGAAGGCAGTCCTAGAGGTCTGCTTTATGTGGGAGTTAAATGACAAATCCTGATCAAAGATAACTCCAAGATTCCTGACAGTGGTGCTAGAGGCCAAGTTAATGCCATCTAGGGTAACTATATCTTTAGACAGTGAGTCTCTAAGGTTTTTGGGGCCAAGAACAAGAATTTCGTTTTTTTCTGAGTTTAACATCAGAAAATTGCAGGTCATCCAGGATTTTATGTCCTTAAGACATGTTTGTAATTTAGATAATTGATTAATTTCATTGGGCTTGATTGATAGATATAACTGCGTATCATCTACATAACAGTGAAAGTTAATGGAGTGATTCCTAATAATGTTGCCTAAAGGGAGCATATATAAAGTAAATAGTATTGGTCCAAGTACAGAACCTTGTGGAACTCCATGACTAACTGTGGTATTTATTGAAGATTCATCGTTAACATGTACAAACTGCGAGCGATCTGATAAATATGACTTAAACCAGCTTAGTGCGGTTCCTTTAATGCCAATTTGATGCTCAAGTCTCTCTAAAAGAATATTATGGTCAATGGTGTCAAATGCAGCACTAAGATCTAATAATACAAGTACAGAGACAAGTCCATTGTCAGAAGCAGTCAGAAAGTCATTATTAACTTTAACCAGAGCTGTCTCTGTGCTATGATGAACTCTAAATCCTGACTGAAAATCCTCAAATAAACTATTGTGTAGAAATTCACACAACTCTTTGGCGACTACTTTCTCCAGAATCTTAGAGAGGAAGGGGAGGTTAGAAATCGGTCTATAGTTGGCTAAAACCCCTGGGTCAAGAGTGGACTTTTTAAGAAGGGGTTTAATTACAGCTACTTTAAAGGACTGTGGTACATATCCTGATAATAAAGAAAGATTAATCATATCCAGTAAAGAAGTGCCAATTAAGGGAACAACTTCTTTAAGCAGCCTAGTTGGGATCGGGTCTAATAGACAGGTTGATGGCTTCGATGAAGAAATGATTGAAGTTAACTGATGAAGATCGATAGCAGAAAAACAGTCTAAATATATATCTAAGTTTACATTGACAGAAGTCCCTGAACTTGGAGAGCCACTGGTAACTGTTGATGGCAGTTGGTGATTAATTTTCTCTCTAATAGTAATAATTTTATTATAGAAGAAGCTCATGAAGTCATTGCTACTTAAGTTTATGGGGATATGTGGCTCGATAGAGCTGTGACTCTCTGTCAGCCTGGCTACAGTGCTGAAGAGGAACCTAGGGTTGTTCTTATTTTCTTCTATTAGTGCTGAATAATAGGCTCCTCTGGCATTTCTATAAGTTTTAAGATTATTTTGCCAATTTGAGCGATATTCTGATAATTTGGAAGAGCGCCATTTCCTTTCAGATTTCCTAGCTATTTGTTTTAACTGGCGGGTTTGGTGGTTGTACCACAGTGCTAGTCTCCTATGTTTTAATAATTTCCTTTTTATAGGAGCGATAGAGTCTAATGTTGATCGTAGTGAGCCTGTAGCACTATCGACAAGATTATCAATTTCAGAGGGACTAAAGTCGTTATAGGACTCTGTTAAATTCAGACATGGCATTGAATTAAACACTGAAGGAATCTCCTCCTTAAATTTAGCTACAGCACTGTCAGATAGACATCTGCTGTAGGAGGTTTTGCCTAATGGCTTATAATCTAATAGTATGAATTCAAAAGTTATTAAATAATGGTCAGATAGGAAAGGATTATGTGGGAAGACTATTAAATGTTCAATATCAATGCCATATGATAGAACAAGGTCAAGAGTGTGATTAAAACAATGAGTTGGTTTATTTACACTCTGACAGAAGCCAATTGAGTCTATTAATGAGATAAATGCGTTACTAAGGCTGTCATTGTTAACATCCACATGAATATTAAAATCACCTACAATAATTACTTTATCTGATTTAAGGACTAAACTTGATAAAAACTCTGAGAATTCAGATATAAAATCAGAGTACGGTCCAGGAGCGCAGTACACTATAACAAATAGAACTGGCTGCAGTGTTTTCCAGTTTGGGTGAGAAAGACTAAGAACAAGGCTTTCAAATGAATTATAATTTAGTTTAGGCTTAGGGTCCATTAAAACGCTTGAATCATATATGGCTGCTACTCCACCTCCTCGGCCTGTGCCTCGAGGAATGTGAGTATTAATATGACTGGGGGGGTGGATTCATTTAGGCTAACATACTCCTCGTGGGACAACCAGGTATCAGTAAGACAAAGTAAATCAATATCATAATCTGATATTAATTCATTCACTAAAACAGCTTTAGAGGACAGAGACCTGATATTTAACAGTCCACATTTCATTCTCTTATTTTGTGCTACTGAGGAGTTAGTTTTAATTTTTATTAGATTTTTATGTTGAACTCCTCTTGTTTTTATTTCTTTAAATAATTTAGGTGGTCGGGGGACAGACACAGTCTCTATGGGGTTTTGGGTGGGTGACTGTTCTAAAGAAAGCGCAGAGAAGTGTGTAAGACAGCAGCTCTGCTTCCTGGTCCCAACTCTGGGCTGTCAGGTTTTAGAAATAAACTTTTCCATATTTCTAGATAAGAGAGCCGCTCCATCCAAAGTGGGATGGATGCCGTCTCTCCTAATCAGACCAGGTTTTCCCCAAAAAGGCTTCCAGTTATCAATGAAGCCCACATCGTTTGCTGGACACCACCTCGACAGCCAGCGGTGGAATGACGACATGCGGCTATACATGTCATCACTGGTCACACTGATCACAGAAGTAAAAGCGGCAGCATTGACAGGCTTGAGTTACTCAAGCTTGATTG